GTGTGTGTGTGTGTGTGTGTGTGTGTGTGTGTGTGTGTGTGAGAGAGAGAGAGAGAGAGAGAGAGAGAGAGTCGTCGCAGTGTGGGGGATGTCCTTGTAACATGATACTTATAAAGAATATTGTAAGGGCAGGGGAGGTAACTAAGTTGTACTTTGCCTTGCACACATGAAGCCTGGATTTCATCCCCAGTACCTCATATACTAGATATGGTGGCTCATGCCTATAATCCCAGCACTTGTGGAGGCAGGAGAACCAAAAGTTCAAGGTCACCCTCCCATACCTAGAGAATTGAGGCCAACCTGGGCTATATTAGACCCTGTCTCAAAAAAAGGAAGTCTAGTTGTACAGATCCTTTACATGTGGACATGAACTCAGGCTAAGGCCGGGTGGAAGGATCCTTATCCAAGCAGTACTGCAAGTCCCTGAGACCTTCAGTTACTTTTAGAGCGAGCATTCCTTCTCTTAAATGGAGGATCTAGCTGGAGTACAGCATTGTCAACAAGGGATCCTAGAAGGTCCACCCATGATTAGAGAAACCTAATACAGACCATAGTCTTCTATGTAAAGGAGCCAGATCAGAATCGCAGTCCGGCAGGCTGGCAGCGGTGGGATCCTGTGCCATGCATGCTCCCAGCCTTTCAGTGAACAGCCTATGGGAAGGGAGGGGCGTGACCATTTTGATGGGTAGTGTGCTGATAACCTTGAGTGCCCCAGGAAGACAGCCTTGACTGCAGCTTCCCAGGGAGGAGAACCCCATTTCTCCAAACTCTATGTTCTGGAAGCATCAGTCTGTTTAAAATCTGGTTAGAGAGAAAGTCTAAGTCGGGTTAAGCTGTAGAGACATAGAAGAGACCTGGAGTTTGCTTGAGGAGTCGGGAGTGGGTGGCATTTGTTTCTGCTGTTTTGACAGCAGCAAAGGGGCGGGTGGGCAGAGTCGGTGGGCTGACGATGGTGGGCGAGTTTCCCCATCCAGAAACATCTTCGGATAGGCTTTCCTCATTATCATAAAATTTCCTCGTCACCCTTATAGAAGTATGGAAACAACATTCCTTGGCAAGTTCTGACCCAAGAGTCACTTCTGCAGGCTGTGGTGACCGTCCCCTGGGCTCAGCTCTGCTTCTGGCCTGACCCATCCACACAGCCCTGAAGCTGGGCCAGGGAATGCTGTCCTGGGAAGCAGGGCAGAGCCCTCACAATGGACAGTGATAGTTCTGATTGCCTCCTTTTGATTAAGGGCGTCTGAAGAGATGGGACTGTTAGTAGGGCAGCGGAGACAGACGGTGAGGATGGGTAAGTGGGCCTTCTGCTCATCACAGGCCAGCTGAGACCAGGCTCTGTTCTGATCTCAACTAAAGTACTCACAACCGTGTTCATACCGCAACAGATTTGGAGATGCTTTGCCATGGTGTCTTCGAGGGCATCTACCAAGCTAGGAAACAGGGAACCAAGTCCAGGGTCTCTCTACTTGACCCTACTGGATGCCAGGCAGGGTTTTGCTGGTTGGGGAAAAGGTGAAGCCATTTCCTTTGTCGTCAGAACGTACCAAGTGGCTTCAGCCAGAACCTTGGTATTGTACAGCTACAGGCATCATTATCTCCTTGCACTTACTGGCTAAATGGCTGCGGAACAGTGGCCTCCCAACAGGCCCTGTTTTGGATACCCCTTCCTTTCAGGCTTGCTGCCACACAGTGAAACTGCTCCCGAGGCTGCTTCTGCACACCAGACAGATCAAGCCCTCATGTTGGGTAGGCCAGGCGAGTTTCCACAATCACTACTCTGCTTCTTCCAGGGATACGCAGGTCAGCCAGCACGTCGATGGTCACGCATCTTGGATACTCTAGGCCGTGTCTAAGCTCTAAATGGTTCGCCCTATTCCCTTCCGTATTTATAAGACTGTGTCCTCCTCACCCGAGATCACCTGCAGGTCTAGAACCAGCCCAGGTGGGACCCAGTGCTTCTGGCAATATTTCCTCACCCTACTTACGCACAGTGATGTCACGGCCTTCATCCATCCATCACCTGCTCTGCACTGCATCTGCGTCTTCGCTGCCTCCCATCCTCTCTCACACTGAACCTCTCAACTCCAGCCCCTGGACCAATCAATTTCTCAGCTATTAAGGAGCCTGGAGTTATGGTTTTGTGTGTTGTTGTTTTGGAAACAATGTGGACATATACGTGGTCTCTCACTGGCCTGGAACTTGCCAAGGTTTGGCTGGTTGGCCAGTGAGCCCAGGGGTCTGCTTATGTGTCTGCCTCAACTCTACCACACCTGACATGGGGGTTAAACTCAAGCAAGCACTTCACTGACGGAGCTACAGCGCCAGCCCTGCACGTATTTGTATTGTTTAAAGAAAAGTCTAAACAATTCAGAAATTCTGCATTGCTGGTCCCATCCATGGAGGCATTCTGAGGTTTCTAGTTAAACTCTACAGATCTCTGCTGGAGCAGGGATGTCCTAAGAGCGCAAGCCTGGAGACTCCACACCAGCGTTTGTGAGCCACCTCAACACCCTGCTCACCGTATGAATCCCATGGTACGAGGCTAGCCACTGCGGCGAGTTTTCAAGTTTGTGTAGGTTGCTTGTTTTCTATTGATAAGCATCGCTACAATGAACAGGCGCTACCGCAGGATCAGTTCTCACTTGTGAGGATACACCCAAAGGACACATGACTAGAAACCACTGCTGGAGCTCGCAGCTGACAGACTTCTCTAGAGACGACTTACTGTTCCTTAGCCCGTGACATCAAACTCGCAATCCTCCTGCTCCTGTGCCCAGCTGATCTCTCTACTACTGACAGCGGTCCAGGTGCATGCCCTCACCACTAACGTGTGAGCACTTGCTCAGTGCTGAACTATAAGCTATGGAGAAAGAACTAGAACAGGCTGTGTGGAGGCTCACACTTTACTCCCAACACTCAGGAGGCAGAGGCAGTCAGAGTTCTGTGAATTCAAAGTCACTGGGTTTAACATAGTGAGCTCAGAGTTCAGTTACACTGAGAGACTGTGTGTCAAAAACTGAGGAACGCCCAAGGCTGACCTCTGGCCTCTACATGTAGGTGTACACGTGAGCACACACAAATCTACCCCTCCAAAAAAACCCCTAAACACCTGTATGCTTTATTTTTTTTATTTTAAATTTTGTTGTTTCTGAGACAGGTCTCACTATAACACCCAGCCAAAAATGCGATGGTCTTTTGGGGGAAGGGTGGAAGCTATACGGTCTTAGACCCAGAAACTACTAAGTAGCTGAGAACCTTGAACTTTTGACCTTCCTTTAACGCCTAAGTGCTGGCATTACAGCAATATGCTATCAGGCCTGATTTAATGCCTTTTTTCTTCTTTGTTCCCACCCCCTCTGTCCCTGGCTTTGGTTTTCTGAGACTGGGTCTCACTAAGTAGATCCCGCTATCCTGGAACTCACTATGGCCTTGAACTATGCCAGTTGTGGGATTAAAGGATACATCAATGTGCCAAGCTTTTATGCTTTTTCTTAAAAACATAAAGTTAATAGTTAAAAAGCAAAGACAATAAAAAACAAGTTGTGTAAAAGTATGTATAATATTATTACCAGTTATATAACAGGAAGAATAATAGTTATTCCCAAGTTCTAGAATGGCTTAGGAGACAGCTAACCACAAGGACCTGAGTTTGATCCCCAGAACTCAAGTGAAAAATCCAGATGTAGTTGCTCATATCTGAAATACCAGAGGGGGAAAAAAAAAGAAAAAAGAAAAAAATCAGAGTCAGGCCAGGCAGTGGTGGCGCATAAATTTAATCCCAGCACTCAGGAGGCAGAGGCAGGCGGATCTCTATGAGTTCGAGGCCAGCCTGGTCTACAAGCTCCAGGACAGGCTCCAGAGAAACCCTGTCTGGTGATGGTGGTGGGGGGGAAGAAAGACCTAAAGCAGAGCAATCTCACTGGGTGGCAATCCTAGCCTAACTGCTCCAGGCCAGTGAGAGTCCCTCTTTCAAAGCAATAGGGTGGGGGCTGGATTGCAAAGATGACTCAGAGGTTAAGAGTGCTTGCTGATCCCCCTCCTCCGCAATTTTCCAAAACAGGGTTTCTCCAAAACAGTGCTGCTTGTCCTGGAACTCGCTCTGTAGACCAGGCTGGCCTTGAACTCAAGAGATCCGCCTGCCTCTGCCTCCTGAGTGCTGAGATTAAAGGCGTGTACCACCTTCGCCTGGCTTCATTTTCCCTTTTTAAGATTTTAGTTTTATTACTTTTGTTTGTGTGTGTGAGTGCCTGTCTGAGCCAGAAGATGATGGAGATGTTGGTTTCTCTGGAACTGGAGTTACAGTGGTTGTGAACCACCTGACATGGGTGCTGGGAATCAAACACAGGTCCTGAAACACAGCAAGTGGTCTTAATTGTGGAGCTCCAGTCCTCTTTTTTTTTTTTTGACAGGGTCTATCACTGAACTGGTCCTGCTGACTGGCTGGGTTCCCTGGGATCCCAGGCATGCGCTGCAGTGTCTAGCTGGGACTCTGAACTCAGGTCTGCACGCTTGCAGAACAACCACTTCACTCACTGAGCCATTTTCTCCAGACCCCCAGTTTTTTGTTTGTTTGCTTTTTTTTTTTTGAAAGCTAAAATTATTACTAGGCATAGTGGCACACGTCTATAACCTCAGTTGCTCCAGGGGCCCAGGCAAGTATATCACAAGCATAAGGCCTGCCAGGGCAACTTAATGTCTCAAAAGAAAGATTTCAAAGGGAGCTGAAGGTACCTATTTCAGTGGCAGACACTTGTCTACATGTGAGGCCTGGATTTAACCCCTCTAAATTTAAAAACAAGGGCTGGAGAGATAGCTCAGCAGTTTAGAGCACTGACTGCTCTTCCAGAGAACTTGGGTTCAACTCCCAGAAGCCACATGGTGGCTCACAACCATTTGGTGCCCTCTTCAGGTGTGCAGGCGTAAATGCAGGCAGAACACTGTATACATAATAAATAATCTTTTCTTAAATTTATTTTTATTTTATGTTAATTGGTGTGCATGTATGTCTGTGTGAAGGTGTCCGATCCTGGAGTTACAGAGAGTTGTGAGCTGCCACGTGGGTGCTGGGAATTGAACTCGGGTCCTCTAGGAGAACAGCCAGCTCTCCCAACTACTGAGCCATCTCTCCAGCCCCAATAAATAAATCTTAAAACGAAAACAAAAAGGTAAAATTTCAACGAGGCTAAAAGGTAGAAGCCCAAACAGATAATATGATCTCTTTTCATGAAAAATAAAACAGAAATAGGGAGGGAAGCTCTCTTGGCCCTCCGGGGTCATGTTAGTCTCTGGATTCCTAGAAAGTATAAAGCAGTTGATCAGGAAAGGAGGCTTTCTCCAGAGCCCCAGCGGACATGGCGGTCAGTCCCTTGCAAAAATGACTTCCAAGGTACTTGTGGCTGCTATTTTCCTGACTACAAGTCAATCTCATTCTCGTATTTCCCTCTCCTTTCTTCTCCCCGCTCCTTCTCCCCTTCCTCTTCTCTTCTCTCTCCCCACTCCTCTCCCTTTGTAGCCACCCTGAACTCTTGGCAGCTCAGTTCCACTGAGAGCCAGGGGAGGCCTGAGGCAGCAGAATTCCCGGCTAGGGAGAAAACTTGCTGGAGGAAGGACAGTGGGGCGGGAGGTGCCACCTGCTACACGCAGGAGCTCAGTTATATAGTTCCATTCACTCCTCCTGTCAAGGCACGGGGAAGAGCAGCTCATCCGCTAAGTCTGCATTTGCTCATCCTGGCCTGCACATTTTAACCTGGCTCTAAAACCAGGCGACAGCAAACCAATGACTTGGGAATCAGATACCGTCGCTGAAGCACAGAACAAGCTGTCCTAGTGACTGCTACCCGCGAGGCCCAAAGAGAAAGAGATACTGAAGTCACCTGCTGCTGTGAAACATGGAACATTGATGCAGTTGCTTTTATTTATTCACCTATAAAGATGACGGCAACGATTGTGCTGAGTAACCCTCAGATTAACACTAATTATATTACTAGAGATGGGTTCCTAACCAGATCAAGGAAGGGCGAGAACAACAAAAATCTCCAAAACACTAAAACAAAGAAAAAACATTTTTTTTTTCCTTTTAAAAACTTAAAATGCTACTTCCCCATAGACTTCTTTAGACTGGGTTGCAGCCTGAGGTAAGAGGAAACAAGGCGTTGGGCATTTTGAAGAAACTGAAGGTTAAGGTCAGTGCCAAGCATGGGACTGAAACCCTGATTTGAGCGTCTGATCTCAGGCACATTCCGAAGAGAGGCAGGTTCCCAAATGATTCCTAGTGTTCGCACCTCTTCACACATTAACGCTGAGTTCCCTTTTCTGGCTGATTCGCTACTGTATGAAGTCCCCTCACTGCTGCCCCCCTTTAACCAACACTGAGTGGTAACCTGGCAGACCTGTGGCGTCTGCTCCGAATGGAAAGGTGACAGACTAGCACCGTCACCCTTCCTCTAAGGCAGCCTCTGTGGGCAGCTGGAAGACAGGCTGCTTACCCTTGGGAAAACCAACCATAGCTGTCCTCATTCCTGGTGAAAATGACCAACCGGGTCAGTCCATATCACTAGGAAAGGCCAAGGAAAAACAGCTTTCTCTCAAAAAATAACAAGAGGAGAAAGCAAAAAATATTTAGGATGGCCCAATGTGATATGCATAAATTTCTTTTTGTTATTATATCTAAGTATACATTTCCTAAAGCCCAGTTACTAGATTGAACTGAATGGGAAGAAGAGAGAAGCCAACTGGCATTTCCCTCAAGAGTTCACAGCTTCAGCCTGAGAGGTCCTCGGTTTGCGCTGTGGAAGCCCCTTTTTGAATGAAGGCTTGGGTAGGCTAGGTGTCATGCTGGCTCCAACTCCATTGGTCCCTGAAGAATAAGCCTGGCTCCATTCACTAGCATTTCCTGAGGCCTGAGGTGGAGTATTCTGGTAGCGGGACCCAGATGAATACCACGAGCTGTTTCTGTAGCGACTCGCACTGTCATGCCGTCCTCGGCTTGTGGGGTCAGTGGTCTTCTGGCTTTGTGGTCTGTAGCTTTGGCCTCCTCGCCGGTTTCCTGGAAATACCTACAGATAAAAAAGCACAACGTTCACGGTGCTCTGTCATTATGATGCCTGCTTTGTTCTACTGTTTTGAAAGCGTAATCAATCATGATTGGGATTCAATCCTACCAGCCAATGCAACCTATTCACTCCTTTGGAATACACCTTCCACGAATCTCCCTGCCTCTCGTACTTAGGTCTTCCCTACTGAGGAGTCCCATCTCGTTAAGACATGCACAGGAAGGAAATAAACACAGAAGAGTCACAAGCTCTGAATCAGACAAGTGTCTGAACACATAGATCCCATGCCTCCTGTAAAGACATGAGCACGTGTGTAGTATTTTGAACGCAACTGTCCCCATTAAGCTTATAGGAAGTGACACTATTAGGAGGTGTGACTTCAATGGAGTAGGTGTGGCCTTGTTGGAGGAAGTATGTCACTGTGGAGGCGGGCTTTGAGGTCTCATATGCTCAAGCAATGCCCAGTGTCTCAGACCACTTCTTGTTGCCTTGTGGGTGGAGGGGTGTAGAACTCACAGCTCCTTCTTCAGCACCACGTCTGTCTACACGTTCATGATGATAATGAACTGAACCTCTGAAACTGTAAGCAAGCCACCCCAATGAAATGTTTTTCCTTTATAAGAGCTGCCATGCGAGGCTGGAGAGATGGCTCAGAGGTTATGGCTGCTCTTCCACGAGCTCCTGAGTTCAATTCCCAGCAACCACATGGTGGCTCACAACCATCTCTAATGAGATCTAGTGCCCTCTTCTGGCCTGCAGGGATACATGCAGACAGAACACTGTATACATAATAAATAAAATAAATCTAAAAAAAGTTGCCATGGTCTCTTCACAGCAATAGAAACTCTAAGACAGAAGTTGGTACCAGGGACCAGGATATTTGTGTGAGAGGCCTGACCATGCTTTTGTTTGAAGGAATATGGACCATGAGACTATGGATTAGAAAAGCAGTCAAGTCAGGCAATGATGGCGCACGCCTTTAATCCCAGCACTCGGGAGGCAGAGGCAGGTGGATCTCTGGGAGTTTGAGCCAGCCTGGTCTACAGAGCAAGTTCCAGGACAGCCAGGGCTACACAGAGAAACCTTGTCTTAAAAAAAAAAATCAAAAAAAAAAAAAGCAGTTGAATGCTTTAAGTGCTGCTCAATGGGCCACTCTTATAGGAGCACGGAGGGTTTGGACTGTGGGGCCTGGCTCCAGAGGTGTCAGAGGGGAAGAATTTAGTACGTTACCTAGAGACAGTCTTATGATATTTTGGTGAAGAAGGTGGATGCTTTTTGCCCTTGTCCAAAGAGGCTGCCTGAGGCTAAAGTCAAGAGTTTGGGACTAATTCTGTGGCCAGAAGAAACCCTAACTAAGATACACGCAGCATAAGAAAAGTAAGCAGAGGAAGTCCGCTTTGCTGTGTCCTACAAGCCGTGGACAAACCAGGAGCTGTGGAAGTCAGCATGCCTTTCACGTCACAGCCCAGGAAGCTCCTAGGACTGGCTTTTTTACCTTCAAACCAAGGAAACGAGACCATGGGTTACTCTGCCACTTTCTAGAGTTTGTTCCTACCCTACGAGGTTCACTTGTTCTGCCCTGATCTACTCTTACTGGGCTCCTGAGTCCTGAGGCTTTCAGCTGCATGGTGGTAAACTTGACACTTGAAGTACTTGTCTACCCACTTGAGATGGGTGCACAACTCCTAGTGTGACTAATTATCAGACAACACAACCTACAACAGACTGCCAACAAATGTAAGTCAGCTGCTGGGGCAACAGGAAGTCTCAACTGGCTGGTGGTGTGGAATACTGTCTCAAATGATTTCCCCGGAACTAATGGAGACTAGATGGAATGGGAACAGAGAGGAAGGTAACACAATGAGCTATCAGCACTGAAACACAACAACTGGGGGTCATTTCCCCTGATGCACTCAGTGTGAAAGCTATATTACCTCCCGATGAGCCTGGCCGGGTCCGTCACTGGAGTCTGTCATGGCTGCTGAAGTCTCTCCTGGGGCACAGTGTCTCTTGTTAGCACCTGGAAGGCTGGGAGCACAGGGGGAACAGGAAGCAGCAGACCCATCACCCGGGCCGTTTAAGGACACAGATACCACCGAGCTGCATTGAGATCTGGTCGAATAGCTGTTCTTTGGATGGGACACTGAAACAGGAACATGAGGAATATGCTATGGTCATATGATGCATTTCACGGTGAGCAATTTAAGGAAAAGAACATTTGAGGGCTGCCGTGCTGACACAGTGCATGAAAGCACATGGTGCACAAGCCTAGAGCCCATGGAGCGGCGGGCAGAGAGAAACTACTTCACAAAGTTGACTTTCATGTCTTCCCATTAACAATAAACACATTTTCGGACTGTCCATGGGACAGTCATAGGAAAATCTACAAAATGGCAAACCTACTGCCCTGTGAAGGATTCCAAGACAGGAGGACAGCCTCAGACCAAACCACACCGGCCTCCACTGATGCCTCTCGGCATCTCCTCTACCTAAACTCCTGGCTGTACTTCCAGCAGCCTGGGAACAACAGGACAGGCCTATGTTTTGTTTCCTATGCAAGTGGGCCCTGCAGAACAGATGGAAGGAAGGAAGGAAGGAAGGAAGGAAGGAAGGAAGGAAGGAAGGAGTAAACAATCAAAATCTCTGCTAAAGCCTTTTTTTAATTGAATGATGTAAGGTAAAGATAATCAAGATCAGTTAAATAAATAGATCTTGTCTTTACAACAAACACACATCTCACTGCATTTCTTACTACAAAATGACCCCAAATTCAATAACCCATATAACTGAAAAATATTATTTTCAATTCAAATGTTCTCAGATATCACAGTTTGAAGCAATCCCCGGATGTCTTCTTGGTTCTAAGCCTGAGCTATGATGGGGCCAGCATGTCACTGTTTTGTTCTGTACAGCTGGAGAGCAGACCCACGGTCCTTGACACAGAGTAGGCAAGTGCTCCCAGCCCTCATCCCGTACTGACAAGAAGAAAAAGGGGAGTAAGCTCAGAAGCCTGATCTTTATGAGACAGGGTTTCTCCATGTAACTTTGGAGCCAGTCCTGGAACTCTGTAGACCAGGCTGGCCTCAAATTCACAGAGATCCACCTGTCTCTGTGGTGTGAGACAATTGTCTATATTCTGTCAATTATGTTTTAAATAAATGCTGATTGGCCAGTAGCCAGGCAGGAACTATAGGTAGGACAACCAGACAGGAAGTAGAGGCAGGTCAATGAGAATAGGAGAATTCTGGGAAGAGGGAAGCTCTCTCTTGGCAGTCCTGCCCAGACACTGAAGGAGGAAGATGTGACCTGCCCCACTGAAAAAGGTACCAAGCAAGCCATGTGGCTAACATATACTAGAATAATGGGTTAATATAAGTTATAAGAGTTGGGGGCTAGAGAGATGGCTCAGTGGTTAAGAGCATTGCCTGCTCTTCCAAAGGTCCTGAGTTCAATTCCCAGCAACCACATGGTGGCTCACAACCATCTGTAATGAGGTCTGGTGCCCTCTTCTGGCCTGCAGGCATACATGTAGACAGGTTATTGTATACATAATAAATAAATATTTTAAAAAAAGAGTTAGTAAGAAGTCCGAACTAATGGGTCAATTAGTTTATAACTACTGTAGACTCTCTGTGTGGTTTTCTTTGTGACTAAACGGCTGCAAGAACCGGGCAGGACAGAAAGCTCAGCCAACACCTCTGCCTCCCGAGTGCTGGGATTAAAGGCATGGGCCACCACCGCCCGGCACCTGATCTATTACTACAAACTCTCATTTTGGGGCCCTGTTTTTATTTTGTGTGTCAGTGTTTAGTTTGAATGTATGTATGTGCACCATATGCATGCCTAGTGCCCATGAAGGTCAAAAGAAGACACTGAATCCCTTGGAACAGGAGTTAAGGATGGTTGTATATTATTCCATGGGTACCAGGAATCGAACCCAGGTCCTTTATAAGAGCAACAAGTAATCTTAACTAGAGTCGTCTCCCCAGCCCCAGAGAGATTCATTTTATTATTTATGTTTGTGTATATGTGTCTGTATGTGTGCAAATGCCTACAGAGCCAGGGTTACTGGGGCTAGAGATATGGGTGGCTATGAGGCATCCTATGTGCGTTCTAGGAATTAAACTCTGGTCCTCTGGAAAGGCAGCGGTCCTTTCAACCCCCCGAGCTATCTTTCCAGCCCCAGCTTGTTCCCATTTTTATGCTATTATTTAAAGGCCTAGTATGTGCCTAGCAAGGCAGGAACTATCACCTCTGTTTGAAGAGTAAAATGATGTTCAGGATGTCAGTGCCGGAGAAGGATTCAACCTGGTCTGAGTTCTGAGACCCTGCTCTTCACACTCTCACACAGCTCTTGACTCAGAGAAGGAAGACTGCTGGGTACTGGGGAAGAGATCTACAGCCCGTGGAAGTTTAAGGCCAATCTGAGCACCAAAGAACAAAACGTATTCCATGTCAGGACTGTCAAATACCAGTCTCTAGAGTTCAAAGTACCTGCAGCCCCGGATTCCTATGTATCCCGGTGATTTGAGGGGTGCGCAGAGGAAGGCCAGCCAGCACACCTGCCCACCAGAGGACAGTCTCCTTAGCATTCTAGAGTTCTCTCACCTTGTCCAAATGAATCGATACTCTGTTTCAGAGTCTCCACATCACAGGTGAACCGGGCCACCCTTCCCAGGTCTTCATCGTACTTCCGCTCACTGACAAAGTGCTGGAGAAAAGAGAGAAAAGCTTCCAGGTAAGAAACATTGTACAAAGAACCTAAAGCACACACAAGTGAACGGAATCATCTTCAATTTTCTCAGTTTTACTGCTTTGAAGTTTGCTGTGCCCATTACATTAGCAACAGTGAGTACTCAGACGGGCACTCATTTTCAAGGGCCCGGCTAAGTCTGACAGCTCCATGACATGTTAGAAAAGGCCGACACCGCTGGCATAACCCGAAGGCAAGGTCAGGAAGGAAAAAGAATTGATGGCAAAGGATCTTCTTCCCCCTGAGCTATTCTTCACACAGTTCCACTTTGCACAGAAGCAGAGGCAGCCAATGTAATCGTAAGCTCCAACTCTGCTTAAGTAGACGCTGTTGTCCTTCAGTAGGATCCACCTTCAGAAAAGGCACTGCGTCTCCTTTAAAACAGGGTTTCAGAGTCTTTGAAAGAGAAGCAATTTCTTGAGATAGAAAGTCATTCATGTGGAAAGGCAACTCTGCAAACGAGACATTTATGCTGCAAGCGATTTAATCCTTCTAAAAGCGGGCTGAGCTGAGAAGTAACAGCCCCCTGGGTCAAAGGCTGACTACACTATGGGAACTGTGGGGCGAGGAGTCAGTCAGGAAAGAAGCAGTTCTGGGATCTGTTAAACAAACAATGTCTAGGGGGCCAGGATCACCCCCACCACACACACCACATGAGTAGAGGAAAAAGAAAAGTCAAGAGCTCTGAGAGAATTTGTAACTGAACTCCTCACTGGGGGTAGTCTACTCCCACTTCAAATGCATCAGAATTCTTGGAAGGCATCCAGAAACACCAAAAGAGAAAGAGAGAGAAAAATTACCCTTGAGACGACATCCTAAAAATTCTGAGTACACTGCAGCTTAGGGAAGTGTATAGACCTCCTGTAATGGCGCTTTCAGATACAGAGGATCTGTCTGATATTAATTCTGAAACAAATTTTAGGGTTTGTTGAGCCAAAGACATAATAGAGATGACAGAAGTACAATGATCTGGAAATAAGACATTTAAATTGCACAGCACCCACTCCAGTACATCAGAAATGCGGAAAGAAACAGATCCTTAGTCAGCCTGCAGAAATATTTCTAGAAACCTTTCAGCCTCGTAGGAAGAGGAACAGATGAAGCCTATGGGAGCCAGAATTCTCATCTAATTACGAAGGGATTTCTGGTTTCTCCTAGACAGCTGAATGAGACTGACCGGCATCAGTGTGAGGGAAATGTTCTCCACAATCCCGTAATGTGCTATTAGTTAATAGGAAATAGGAATTTTAAACTTACATTTTTTGGCTTTTTTACCCCAATCAATTCTCAGGGGAAGGAGTGAGGGATACGAGACACTCAACAGGTTTGTACGAGCGCTGGTTCAAATGGTGCCCAGAAGGCCCTCGATCACCTTACAGCTGTGTCTGTACTTTCTCCAGGCTGTTGTCGGCCTCCACAGGAAGCATTCCTCTCAAATAAGTCAATAAAGTTCATGTGTTCATAAGAGCAGAGGTGAACGCTTAGGAATAGAAAAGGTCACCCCCCACTCCTTGCTTGAAAAGCTTTCTGTTCATAAACAGTGATTTAGAACACGGTGTCCATGGGTATCTACAAATAACCCAACCTCTCTCGGGGTCACACATTTAGTATCAGAAATACAATTTTAAAAATTTATTTTTACTTTATGTGCAACGAATACTTGCTTGCACATATGCATGTGCACTGCATGTGTGCCTGGTGCCCAGGGAGGCCAGAAGGAGCAATGCAGCTCCTAGAGCTGGAGTCACAGAGAGCTGTGAGCAGCCATGGAGTGTGGGGAACTGAACCCGGGTCCATCTGTGTTTAAGGATTACAGAAGATTTGAGGCAGGCTACTCAAGTATGAGAATCAGATATGGGGGTGGGGAGAACAGAAAGACTTGAGTGAGCCCATTACAGCAGGTCAACCTACAGCTGAGCAGCTTGACCGCTGTGGTAGAAATGGAGATGAAAAGCAAGGTCACTCTGAGGTTCAGCACTAAGTCCAAGGACTGGCAGGGCTCCCTGACAGATTAATTCGAGGGTGAAGAAGTTTCCCAAGATTTCCTGCCTAGACAACTGGAGAGACGACAGAACCATGTAAAGAAAAAGAAAGTCTGGAAAGAGGCCACGCTTGGAAGGGAAGTTCATGGTTTAGTGTCCTCTGTACAGACATGTCTTCTGGAGAGAAAGGAGAAGGAAGTTCACCTTGATATCAGCCCTGAGTTCAACCAGCTGCTCCTCTGACATCCGCACAGCCACATCCGTCATCTTCTTCAGAACTTCTGCTTTCTTCTGCCGGGTGAGCAAAATTTCCACTGTGGAAGAAAAAGAAGCATGAAGTCCATGCTGAGGTTAAATGAGATACGGAATGGGAGCACACGCCTTGAGAGTGCATCAAGACAGCCAAGGGCCTAGCTGCCCACTCATCCCGAAAGTGAAAATACCAAAGGTCTAGTTTCTGGCTTAGGAGTCTCTGAAGGCAGTTAAAATACAAACACTGATGAATAACAAAGACTTATAAATCACTTGCCATTTCTCTCTCCTCTTCTTACCTCATTTTTTTTTTTCTCAAGAAGCATATAAATTAAGACAGAAATATACATATAAAACATTTGACACAAATTCCATGTAGAACCAGCGGGTACAGAATGTCTCTCTACTTCTGACTTTGCTGTCCCTACTCAGAGCCACTAGCAGCTTCCTATGTGTACTCCAAATGCTGTCTATGTATGGACAGCACAGACCTCTCCCTCCCTCGTGCGGTGTCTGTAAAATAGTCTTCTCTTTATCATAGCTGGTCATCTAATCTACAGATATACCCCAAATACTGAGCACATCTACTAATGATGGATATCCAAGTCCTTACGCTCTTTTTATAAAAGCACCTGTCCCTATGGCTATGGTAAATAACAGACCAAAACAAAAAAGGCAGGGAATCGCTATTCCTCGCTAGCACTTGTTTGGTTTTGTGACAGCATCCAGGCTTGTCTGGAACCCATTATGCAGACCAAGATGGCATGGTAGTCCTCCACCACAGTCTATAAGCACTGAGACTCTCTACACATAAGTCCTCACGCCCCACTCTGTCCTACAAGGTTATATCATTGGGTTTTTTTCTTTTCTTTTTAAATTTACTCATTTTGCCAGGCGGTGGTGGAACACGCCTTTAATCACAGCACTCAGGAGGTAGGGGCAGGCGGATCTCTGTGAGTTCGAGGCCAGCCCGGTCTACAGAGCAAGTGCCAGGACAGGTTCCAAAGCTACAGAGAAACATTGTCTCAAAAAAATAACCCCCAAAATAAATAAATAAATAAATTTACTTATTTTTATTTTATGTGCACTGGTGTTTTGCCTGCATGTATGTGTGAACATGTTGGGTTCCCTAGAACTGGAATTACAGACAATTGTGAGCTGTCATATGGGTGTTGGGAATTGAACCCAGGTCCTCTGGAAGAGCAGCCAGTGCTCTTAACCACTGAGCCATCTCTCCAGTCCCTGATCATTGTTTTTCTAAGTCCGACACTTACTTTCATTCATTCTTTCAGTCACTTACTTTCATTCATTCTTTCAGTCTGGATTTGTCTGTATGCATGAGTGTTTACCCACATGTATGTATGTGGACCACATGTGTGCCTAGTGCCTATGGAGATCATATTCTCCCTGGACCTAGAGTTACAGTCAGCTGTGAGCATCATGTGGATGCTGAGAATTGAGCCTTGGTTTCTGTCAAGATCAAGAGCTCCTAAGTGCTGAGCCAGCTCTCCAGCCCAACACTTGACTTTCTTAAGAGCTACAAAAGATCTATTGACTTAGCTCCCAAGATAAAACCCACCTGCTGTTCACATCAACCTCAGTTCTCAGCCTCCAACACTCTGGGATTTTATTTTATTTTTTTAAGTTTTTTTTATTATTATTTTTATTTATTATGTATACAATATTCTGTCTATGTGTATGTCTTCAGGCCAGAAGAGGGCACCAGACCCTATTACAGATGGTTGTGAGCCACCATGTGGTTGCTGGGAATTGAACTCAGGACCTTTGGAAGAGCAGGCAATTCTCTTAACCACTGAGCCATTTCTCCAGCCCTACTCTGGGATTTTAATGCAAAATTATAGATTTCAAGGTAGACAAATATATTTAGTAATAATTTCAATTTTTTATTTAGTTTTATATGTGGGAGTGTGTTGCCTGCATGTATGCCTGTACACCAAGTGCATGCAACGCCTGAAGAAGTCAAAAAGGGGCATGGGACCCTTTGGAACCCAAGTTACAGGTGACTGACAGACACCATACATGTCAGTGTTGGGAAATGAACCCAGGTCCTCTCCAAACCCTCAATAAAGACTTCTACAACACATCACAAGACTTGGAAAACCAAATTAGGGTTTGAAAAATGGCTCAGTGTTTGAGTCTCATCACCCACACGATGGCTCACAACTCTGTAACTCTAGTTCCAGGATCTGATGCCCTCCTCTGGCCTCCCTGCACACATGTCATAGTACACACACACACACACACACACACACACACACACACACACACACCACATACAGGTGGGTATCTGAGTTTGAGGCCAGTCTACTTTACATATAGAGATGCAGGCCAGCTAGGACTACACAGTGAGAACCTGTCTCAAACAAACAAAGAACAAGAAAATAATTTTATTTTGAGGGGGCTGGAGGGGTGGCTCATCAGTTAAGAGCACTGACTGCTCTTCCAGATGACTCAGGTTCAACTTCCAGTACCCACACAGCAGCTCACAACTGCCTGTAATTCCAAGATCTGATACTCTCACACAGACATACATGCAGGCAAAACACCAGTGCACAGAAAATAAAAATAAATCATAAAAAATTATTTTGAGGAAAAAAAAAGAAAATCAAATATGATACTGAACAAGTCATATTTTTCCCATACAAGTTTCTTCATTTATTAAATAAGAAGATTAAACAAAATAAGAAAACCTACCTACTTCAAAGTATTGGAATAAAGGATATATATGAGTATGTATGAAGAAATTCTGAACTGTGAAATAGTATAAATAAAGTATTTAATAAACTAAAACATGCTTTCTTGACAGTACTGGTAACACAATTATTACATCATATCCCTGAGAACCAGCAATTTCAGAGAGAACAAAGATAAAGACATAAAACTGATGAAGTTAGGTAAATTTTTGTAGCTTTTAATTTGATAACTGGTTTAAACTGGGTGATGGGACTCCCTTCGCCTCTCTATTGAAATTTTCTATAGATGATTTGTGTATCCATACTCACATGTGTGAGCACACATGGAGAACTTGGGTATCTCCCTCGATTTAAGGGTCTCTTGCTAGCCTGAAGCCCATGTTTTGGCTGACTGGCCAGGACAGTGAGTCCTTGAGATCTCCTTGTCTCTGGACCCAGCTCTGAGGTCACAGACTCAGGCTACCACACTCAGCTGTCCTGTGGGTGCCAAAATTTGAACTCAGGGCCTTCTGCTTGAGTAGCGAGCACTTCCTTTACCCCAGGTTCATCTTTCCAGTCATGCTCCGCTCTGTTGACTGAGACAGGGTCTCTCGCTGGGATCTAAGCCTTATCAACTGGCTAGACTGGCTGGCCAAAAAGTTCCAGGTAATCTATTTTTTCTTCTCCAGAGCTGGGGTTACAGGTGTGTGCCACCACACCCAGCTTTTAAGGTGGGTACTGGGGATGCTAATGCAAGAACTTTATTGACTAAGCCATCTTCCTAGCTCCCTCAGACAGACAGACACACACACACACACACGCACGCACACACGCACGCACACATGCGCATGAATGTTTTGCTTCAGGCTGGCAAGATGGTGCAACAGTTAAGAGCACTGCTGCTCTTCCAGAGGTCCTGAGTTCCCAGCAGTCACATGGAGGCTCAAGACCACCTATAGTGCGGTCTGATGTCCTCTGAATAAAGGTGTACATGCAGATAGAGCACTCATACATAAAGTAGATAAATAAATAAATCTTAAAAAGGTCTGTCTGTTCACCCTGTGCATGCCTGGTGCCCATGGAAGTCAGAAGAGGGCATTAGATCACTTGGAACTGGAGCTTACAGGCGGTTTTTAGCTACTATGTGGGTGCTGGGAATAGAGCTCAGGTCCCCCATAAGAGCAGCCAGTGTTCTTAACTGCTAACCCATGCTCCCACCCTTAAAGGATTTATTTTCAAAAAGTACCTTCTCCTCTAAAGTAAGTGTGTCTTTTCACTAATGTTAGTTTATCTGAACCTTTATCTTGTGAAAGAATCAAAGAACAAGAATAGGGTACAGATGTGAAATTTAAAGATTTCAAGATATACTATTTAATGCATATGCAATCTTATTTCTGAGAAATAGGAGATAGAATGCCTGCTTCATTCTCAACACTTCCCTTAAAATGGACTGAACTAAATTCTGCTCAGTATTTTCAAGGTGTCTCTTCTATGGCTGTGTTCCACAGGCACAATGATCACCTAATAAAGTAATTCTATTCTTACTAGTTTGAGGGTAGGTTAAAAGAAACAACCTTCCTCAATAAGATGGCATTCAATGCATGAAGACAACCACCACCAGACCAGCGAGATGGCTCAAAGGGGGAAGCACGTGCCATACAAGCCTGACAGCCTGAATCCCATCCATAAATCCCAGGGGGGAAGGAAAGGACCAATTCCATAAAGTCTTCTCCTGGCCTCCACACCTGTGCTGCACACCTGCACACACACCTGTGCTGCACACCTGCACACACACCTGTGCTGCACACCTGCACTCAGAAGCACAACCAGGTTTCTGATTCCTCCATCAAAAGCCACACAAATTATCCAAGCTAGACTTCATTCCTCCAGAGTCTACTTTAATAAGCATCCGTGGCATGTTGAATTCTCGGCTCACCGCCCTCCCCCACTCCTTGATTACAGACACTGAATAAGGATCATCCTAAAATGGAAAAACAAAAGAAATTCTGTGACAGCAAATGACAAGAACATACACTCAACTGTAGGAGGCGTGGTGAAGCCTCCTCCGATTAGCCTAATGTTTTAGCCTTATCAAAATAAACAAAACCCAGTGGAACCGCTTAATCACTAGAAAGAAAAGCAAAACAGAGGAAAGCCCAGGCACCTGCAGGGAGCTTTATTTCCTAAGGGCGATCTATGGCAGCAACACGGTGATACAATAATTTGTAGACTAAATACTACATTGAGAATGCTAAACATTTGGGGGAAATGTAAAAGACTCTTGTGAAGAATTAAAAGCGGAGTATAACTCAAGACTGACTAACTGAATCCATAAACTTGTTTGTTTTACTGACAGTATTTAATACATGAACATTAAACTCTGACTGACAGGCAGCTGCCTACTCTTTGCATTGGTAATAGTTTTTTCCAAGTTACTATGTAGACCAGGCTGGCCTCAAACTCACAAAGACTGAACTGTCTCTGCCTTCCAGGTGCGAGGGTTAAAGGTGTGCGCCATGCCCCTGGCTAGAGTTAAAGGTGTGCGCCACGCCCCTGGCTAGGGTTAAAGGTGTGCGCCACGCCCCTGGCTAGGGTTAAAGGTGTGCGCCACGCCCCTGGCTAGGGTTAAAGGTGTGCGCCACGCCCCTGGCTAGGGTTAAAGGTGTGCGCCATGCCCCTGGCTAGAGTTAAAGGTGTGCACCACTGCCTTCCGGGTGAGGTTTAAAGGTGTGCACCACGCCCCTGGCTCTGGAATGGCTTTAGTTAACTATCAGTCATCTTACTTGCTTCAGCTTTCACTTTGTCCATTTCTGCAAGCAACGCCACTTCTCGGTCCATTAAACTAGGGGGAAATGACAAAGAAAAAAGGTTAGATAAGAAACTCAAATACCAAAATAGTATATAATTAACAATGGAGAAAAACTAAATTTGTTCACTAAAAACATATGGTTAAGAAACAATGAATGGACACATGGAAGTCTAGTATTGTATTTACAACAAAGAATATTTAAAGATCCTCAAGGAAATAATAGACCCATGGGGCCAGAGAGATGGTTCAGCGGTCACCCACATGGCAGCTCACAACTGTCTGCAACTCCAAGATCCGACACCCTCACACAGGCATACATGCAGGCAAAACACCAATGCACATAAAATAACAACAAAATAATAGTAATAATAAAATGAACCCACTCCCTTTTGTTCTATGTTCTAGCAGCAATTCAAGCTACTAGAAATCCAGGTTAGAACCAGCAGATGGCAGTAGCAAGCCACAAAAATTTTTTAGTTATGCTAATGTAAGAACTTATGGAAATTATTTATTTCCACAATTTCTATATTTTGATTTATCTCTTCATAAAAAAAAATATGGTCTCACTTTGTATCCCTAGCTGACCTGGAACTGTATGTAGACCAGGCTGGCCTTGAGCTTACAGAGATCCACTTGCCTCCGCCTCTCAAATGCTGGGATTAAGGTGAGCACTGAGCTTGGTTTAAACAATTTGAAAGTTGTTTTTAATTTTACCAGGTAGTATCGCTTTCTGCGAGAGTATAGAAAGTTGTCCAAGATTAGGGTCTACGTATCCAACATGTGAACACCATATTATTGCAGCAAGATCAACGACACTACAATCCCTAGGATACAGAATAGTTCAAGTTGATTTCTGATACAAAACTTAGCAGTAATTAGAAAAGATGGAATTAAAAGTTTCGTACAGATTTTTCCCTTCCTCCATGTTGGGGACCAGACCAAGGGCCTTGTATAAGTGGTGCAAGCACTCTGCTTCTGGTTTCCTTTCCTCCTCTGCAGACTGGAGATGGAACACGGCCTTGTGTGCTAGGCTAGCATTCTGCGATTGGAGCTATTCTTCCAGCTCTTGTTTTTGTAAAAAACACTCTCACTGACCCTGAACTCGTTATTCTTCTGCTCAAGCATCCCAAATGCTGGGATTATAGGTGTGTGTTACTAATCCTGAAATTACTAAACCTCAATTTAGTTATTTATTCTTTATTACATATTTATTTATATGTGTACGTAGACTGTTGGAATCAATGCGCAGGAGTTCACTCTCTTTTGTCACCATGTAGGTCCAAGCTAGAACTCAGTTTGTCAGGCACGGCGGCAGGCACCTTCACTCTGAGCCATTCCATCAATTTGAGATTTCTCCTTAATAAAGTACGGCAGCCAGGCAATCTGGCACCCGGAGGAAGAAACAGGCAGATCCCTTAGTTCAAGGCCAGCCTGGCCTACAGAGTGAGTTCCAGGACAGCCAGGGCTGTACAGAGAAACCCGGTTTTAAACAGTCCCTCCCCCCAGAAGTATACCGCTCTAACGTTAGTAGAAATATTACTCTTTCTGATGGTAAAGGCAATCACAGACACATATGACCATTCAATTTATCTCACTATGTAATTACGTTAGCACAGTTAATACAGAGACTACAAACAAATCCTCCACAGAAAACTGCCAGAGAACGCCAGTCTGATGATTATCCATGTTAATAAACAGACTTGTAACTAAAAACAAACAAACAAAAAAAAAAAACCTGGGTGGCAAATTAATCCAACAGCCCCAGACACAAGAGAAAAAGACAACGATCCTGAGGTGGCCACTCTCTGCTGGGAACACTTCCCACTTGGGCAGTTTGCTTAAGAACCCCAGCCGCCTCTGGAATACCCAGAAGGCACAACCGGGCCAGGAACTGCCAGGCCTACAGTTTGGTGCTGCCAGTTTGTCTTACGATGCACACACCGTGCCCACCAGATGACAAATTCTTTGTGTTTGATAAAACTTATAAAATATTTATTAAAGACTTCAAAAAACAAGTGTTTCACATCTCACGGTCTTCGCTGAGAAAAGAAGAGTTGGGTGGGATGTTTCCAGCAAAACCAGTTCTACAATGGCACGGTACCAGACCGTTCTTGTGGGAATATGAGGGGGAAAAGTGATTGACATTCTTTCCACTGTAACGACCAATGGTGTTCACTGGTTTCTTGACTGATTCACTGGTCACAAAAAAATTCATAGCACACTGACTAGCAATGCAATGTTATGGAAATACCTCTTACATTCTAAGAGACTATAACTTTTGCTGGACTTCACAGCCAGATTAATAATACACCTCTGGGTTACTTAGACTTTAGACTAAGAGCCTGCTATGTACCCAGACTGTTTGTTTAACCTGCCTTTAGAACAGCGTGACACCCAACTTACTTGCCTTGGATTTCCCAGTATTCAGCTTTTACAAGTGGAGCTAATGTCACTGTAATCCTGAACTACTCACTCTTTCATGCACCCGACCTAGAGTAATGCATGTGCACCACTGCTGAGAGCAGCAAGTGGAGTGGTTGAAGCAATCTTATAAAATGAATATCCACCACTGAACACATTCACGGATAATGTTGAACTTAACTACTTGATTATAAACAATGATATTTGCAATACTGTCTGTCATTTGGGTGAGCAAAAAAATTTCTCTATAAAGTACTTCTCATTTCTTCTTATGTAATATTTTCTGTGCTGTTTAACTGAAGAGAGCAAAGCCACATTTAGGAACAGACATACATATACACATTTGTTGTAAGAAGGCTTCTTGGTCGTTCTGGCCACTCAGGAGTTCAGACCCGAAATAATCACACAGAAACTATGTTATTTGAATCACTGCTTGGCCAATAGCTTTAACATATTGCTAGCTAGCTCTTATATCTAGAATTAACCTATTTCCATTATTTTATATTTTACTACGAGGCTCATGGCCTACTGGCAATGTTCCACCTGGCAGCTAGCACACCTTTCCCCTCTGGTGGCTACATGGCATCTCCCGACTCTGCCTTCTTTCTCTCAGCATTCAGTTTAGTTTTCCCCACCTACCTGTACCCTGTGCAGGCCCAAGACAGCTTCTTTATTAACCAATGGTATTCACAGCATACAGAGGGGAATCCCACATCAGGCTTTTTAAGAGAGGGCTCGTGTTGTTAGTTGCATGAATTAAACACATTAGTGAATCCTACTGCATTGCTGTCACATTAAGGAAAGAGATCAAAACACTTGCCCGTGGTGTTGCTTAATAAAGAGTGAGCCCTAGGATAAAATGAGAAAAAAAAAAAAAGAAAAAAAAAAAGAAAGAGTGAGAGATGGATCCCTGGTTCTTGGAGAAGACTCAGGTTTGATTTCCAGTGCCCTCACATCTGGCTCACTTCTGCCTCTAACTCCTGTTCAGAGGATCTGATGATCTCTTCTGACCTCCACAAGCATCAGGCATGATGTGGCAAACAGACACACATATAAGGAAAAGCATTCAAGTAATAAAAGTATAAAAAAAAGAATGTGTAACGTGGGATTCCCCTCTGTATGCTGTGATTACCATTCATGAGTAAAGAAACCACTTTGGACCTATAGCTGGGCAGAATTTAGCCAGAACGTCAGGAGTCTGGGCAGCCAGGGAACGAACAAGTAGCTTCCCACAACAGATTGGTGCTCCAATGTGTGCTAGCTAAATCCACATAAAACCTGATAGGGCTTTGAAAGGAACTGAAGACACTAAAAAGCAAAGTTTCAAAATGACAGCTTCCTGGGCTGTGCTGCTAGCAGGAACTCTGGCTCTTTTAGGATGTTCTCCACTGAGCATTACAGACCACAAATGGGGTCTGTAGCAGAGTGCTACAACTTGCTTAGTGGCAACACAGACCTGTTGTGGCCCGACCCTGGATCTGGCTCTCAGAGGCAGAAAACATGCCTCCATCATGTTGCACTGGGCGGAGAAAGCAGGCAGGGCCGTGTTGGCCCTAGCCATGCCCACTTAACATAAAAAAAGGATGCTTCTGGTCAGAAAATAATGACAGATACTCATGCAATAAAGACCAATCCAGATGGAAAAGACCTCTAAATGGGTTACAGTGTTAGATAAATGTACATAGATAAGCTTGGGAGAGAAAAAAAATAGTTGTCAAAAAAGTAAGTGGTTTAAAAAAATAAAACAAAGTCTTTAAAGAGACAGATTAAACTTGAAGAAAAAGTAATAGAAATAAAGAAAAATAAGACAAATAGAGATGGAAAATACACAGTCTGGATTATGTATTATGGGTTTTTTTTTATGATTTTTTGACTGTGAAGAACTAAGTACAGAGAGACATTTCATTGTATGGGCTGCTAAACTAAGCCAACATATATATTTTAAAGGTATCGTAACTTCAAAATTTGGGTCTAAGGATTTGTTTCTTTGGAAAAGAGGTTCTTCTTTTGTTTCCAGAGGATGAGAACCTATGGAATCCTTCCAGACTAACATGGTTTGATGGACTAAAACCCCCCTCCCAAAAGGTCGCTGTGAACCCCCCTCCAAATCACTTTGCCCAACAAAAAGCAGGAAGCAGTTTGGAGAGAACTACACCCAAATTCCCTAAATGATTGTTTATATATGCTTGTTTACATTTAAAGGGAGATATGATATAAAGATGGATACTTTACATTGGAATGGATTTTGGTTTCTTGATACAAATTTAAGGTCAATTTTGTTATATTTCTGCTCTTGATTAAGGTATTGTGTTTGTGCAGCTCATTTAAAATGTAATATATAGGGTTGGAGAGATGGATCAGTGGTTAAGAGCACTGGCCACTCTTCCAGAGGTCCTGAGTTCAATTCCCAGCAACCACATGGTGGTTCACAACCACCTGTAATGAGATCTGGTGCCCTCCTCTGGTGTGCAGGCATACACGGAGGCAGAATGTTGTATACAGAATAAATAAATAAATAAATAAATTGAAAAAATAAAATGTAATGTATAATTAAGAAACATAGGTTAATAGATGATCATCTATAATAGTCAAGTATGTAGTCATGTTAGTTA